TTAAAGCAGCAACAACGCTACACATAAAAACTGATGATGGTGGGAAAATACACCGAAACGTATTTTGATTGATAAATAGAGACAATAAATGACTGTGCATTTTCATTGCTGATACTTTTCCTTCAAATTTTATATAGAAAAAGGCAAAAATGCGGAATAAAACCGTCTTCAACATATCGAACAGTCCAAAAACTACGGTATTTAGATCTCAAAAATGCTCTTACTACACAAAACTTTTCACAATATTTCTCAGGAAACTCAAACCCTTTCACACTGAAAAAAATAGAAAAAAGTGGATTAAAACCATTCTGAAAACGTGCAAAGCGCTTCAAAAATGGTTCTAAGATTTAACAATAAAACCTTAATGTTGGAGCATTTTTTGGCATCTAAACCTCTCTTGAAAGAATCACTGATTATTCAGAACTCTATAAGATCGTCCCAGGAAAAGCCGAAGCTATTGTTAAGCAACTTTTATAGCAAAAACGTGAAGAGGCTTACAAAACGCTCAAAAAATGGCTCTAATTCCTCAACAGTTCGTAAATTTCTAGAGAGAAATATAACGCTAAATTTACACACTTTTTAGTGTTGCAAAATTCGCTCAAAAAATCTTTACAAATGCGCGAAAAAACTCTATTTCTTCAGGAAAAATGGAAAAAAGGGTCTTCAAAGCTTACAAAACACACAAAAATGGCAATTATTGTTCAACATTAAAACTCTAGAAAGAAACATGACACACTCTTTATTGTTCAAAAATCTGCAAAGAATAACGCTAATCACTGAAAATTCCTTATGACCCTCCAAAAAATTAAAAGGCTTGATTTATCTACTCATTTTCTCCAGAAAGACGCAAAAAAACGCAGAAAAATGTGTTTAAACCCTCCTTTGGTTCCTCAACATCTCATAAAACGCCTGAAGACAAATTCGACAAACTTTCCTATAATTTCGTTGAATTCACAAAAGACATGAAAAAAAATCAGTTAAAATTCAACTTCAAAAAACAACAATTTCCAAACGGCCAGCTTTAAAGGGCGCATTCTCTTTGAATTTAACAAACTTACCGTTTATATGGGAGCCGCACTATCGGGTGGCATTTTATTCTTCTGCTATAGTTGATGTGCTCGATTCGACGCCGCAAAGGCCACTGATGTTCAAACGGTTTGAGGAGGGCAAAAGAGGACACTTGGATGGAAGCGCTTCAACCGTGATTAGCAGATTGCAAACCTGCGCTGCTCAGGAGGACTGAAGAGGCTGGAACTATTTGTTCATTGGCTCATCCTCAAACGTATACGGGGACTAGAAATGATCATGTGGCTGAGGAAAATTACGCTGGGGAGGATTTTGAGGGCAAAGAAAACCGTCTGCAGCTGCTAGTTGAAACATTTAATAGATTGAAACAATCGTTACTAAACTAAAGATAGAGGACTTGAAAAAAACCACTAGTGAACTAAAATAAAACGTTCTTAACTCATATACTTTTCAAAGTTATAACAAAGCTTAATATGTGTTCGGTTCGGATGCGGGTTGCACGCGTTCATGTTGCTAAAAATTGCTCTACATTCTAGAACGCAATCTGCATCTATGTACGTTTCGCCTTATATACGCATTCATGGTCAGTCTCTACCATAATAAGAACTTTTGATAACATAGAAAGACGGTGAATGTAATAAGGCACTTTTGAAATAAAAATATAATTCACGCCCAGTTAGTTAGATGCAGATTGAGTCGCTTTAAAACAATAGCTGACTGAATCCATGCAAATTTTCTGAATTCTTCGGGTCTGCAGAAGACGAAGAAAAACACACAAGACCATCACACCCCTTTTTCAACTAAAAATATGCCTACTTGTTAGTGGATAAAATATGCGAATATACAATAAAAAGTACGTTCCCAAAGTACAAATCCACTCCATAAAAAGAAACGTTATTTCCATGCCAAAGTCCAGTAACTGGCCCCAACTAAACGCTTGATTTCCCTCATTGCACGTGTTTTTTTGGCATTCATACAATAAAGTCGCATTTAGTCCTATATAATAGAACGTAATTATTTAGCACGCATGTAAGATTGTATCAAAGTAAAAGTGATTTTTAGATTTTCATAAACTGAAAAGTTATGTAGCAGTTTAGAAAGGGATTTACAAAAAGTATCAAATGTACCTGCTCAGTGTGGGTGCATCGGTTAACTTAATTAGCTGCCAAAAAGCAAGATTTTTATAAACAGCCCGTGTTTTGAGCTGGGCGTCTATTGGGCAATTATCAAAAATAGTTCTGCACCCAAGATTTGAGTTCTACATATATTAAGGGACAAATCAACCATTAAAGGATATTGTTTTTTGAACACGCCAGTTGTTCAGTATATTGTACATACTTTCCTGACTGTGTTTGTCTATTGTCTCTATTTATCAATTAAAATACGTTTCGGTGTATTTTTCCACCATCATCAGTTTTTATGTGTAGCGTTGTTGCTGCTTTAAGCCTTGGC